GTCGAGAAACGGAAACCGCTACATATTGACCATGGTGGACTTCGCCACGCGCTACCCGGACGCGGTGGCCCTGCCAGCAATCGATTCGGCGACAGTAACAGAGGGCCTGGTGGAGATGTTCTCACGCGTAGGATTCCCGCGTGAAATTCTATGTGATCAAGCATCTTGCTTTACTTCCGAACTGATGAAAGAAGTCAACGAGTTACTGGCCATTAAGCACCTCAGTTCTACACCTTACCATCCTATGTGTAACGGGTTGGTGGAACGATTTAACGGTACGTTAAAACAGATGTTGCGGAAGCTCTGCCAGGAGGAACCAAGATCCTGGGATCGGTTGCTTGCCCCACTCCTTTTTGCCTATCGTGAAGTGCCTCAGACCAGCACGGGATTTTCTCCCTTCGAACTTATTTACGGGCGTGACGTCAGAGGACCACTTAGTTTGTTAAAAGAATTATGGATTGGAGAACACATCGGCGACGAGGCGAAGACAACTTACGGATATGTATTGGATCTGCGAGATCGTCTTGAAAAAACACTGCAGTTGGCTCATGAGAACTTGACACGAGCAAGAAAATCACAGAAGCAATACTATGATCAGCGAAGCACGAAACGTCAGCTTGAAGTAGGCGACCGGGCCCTTATTCTACTCCCTACTACGGAAAATAAATTACTCATGCAATGGAAAGGACCTTTTAAGGTCACAGGGAAAAAGGGCAGTCATGACTACTGGTTGGACTTGGGACGTGACACCAAGTTGTTCCACATCAACATGTTAAAGCGTTACGAGGATCGCGAACCGGAGAGGTTTACACAAACAGCGTCATTCGTAGTGATGGAAGAAGAGGAGGCAGATTCACCTATACCAGTTTACACTATTGAACAGTAGGGTCCTGAGGTGGAGCCTGGCATTGCAAGAATACTCATTTAGCATTCAGCATATAAAAGGGTCGGAGAATACCGGTGCGGACTTCATGAGTAGATTGTGAGCCAAGAGTTCGGACTTCATGCACTGTGATATTGGGTGTTGGACACTCAAAGTATGTCAGTGTATTTAACGGTGTTCTTGTGTGTTTAGTAAATATTGGACCTCGACATGTGAACTATACAGAGGACATATACAGTGAAGGGGTTTACAGACCGCGCACGTGTCAGCAGTTTTTTTTTTTTTTTTTTAAAAAAAAAAAAAGGAAAAACTCATTTAAGGGGGGGCTTTTGTGATATGTGTCGTGCGCGAAGCTTCAAAGTGCGCGCCATTCAAAGTGCGCGCCATACAAAGTGCGCGCTTGAAGCAGACAACGACGAAGGTAGCACGAGAGCTGAGTAGCGTGGCGGCGAAGGTACGAAAAGGAACGAGGAAGACGGGGCTCTCGACTCGGCCGTTGGGTTCCGGACCCGAGCCTAGTAACAGTCGAGCCCGGCCTACCTGCCACGTTCTACCTGCCACGGCCGTGCGTCGCTGACGTGCTGCGGCTTCAAGGCATCCTGTGCTTGAGGACACGCGGAGCTGTCGGGCTACGGGCACGAGTTCCAGCAGAGGTGTCCGGCCGGGACGCGGCCGGTGGTAGTGCCTGGTCTACCGCGCCAACTGGTCCACCTCGTCTACCGTGCGAGCAACGCGGAGCTGTCGGGCTACGGGCACGAGCTCCAGCAGATGTGTCCAGCCGCGACGTGGCTGCGGGGGCGGAGCCTACCCATCAACTAGTCGCCTGGTTGACCGTGCGGACAACGCGAGCCAGCTCAAGACGTAGCAACGAACCTCGGTGAGACCGACCTCATGTCTTGTGTCCATGTTAAAAAGGAGGGACGGTTAGTTTAGGACTTTGATAGTTCACAGAGACAGTGAAGGATTCTTTAAATAGCCTGTCCATGTTATGTGTGTTCGTTTTTCGTGTGTATAAAGTGTGGCGTACAAACGGCCTCGTCTTTTCGTGGGAGTCTGGGGCGACGGCTCGGACACCCATTAACTAAGAACCTGCACGTTGCTATAACACCCACTGCAATGTAACACTATCTATCTATCTATCTATCTATCTATCTATCTATATCTATCTATCTATCTATCTATCTATCTATCTATCTATCTATCTATCTATCTATCTATCTATCTATATCTATCTATCTATCTATCTATCTATCTATCTATCTATCTATCTATCTATCTATCTATCTATCTATCTATCTATCTATCTATCTATCTATCTATCTATCTATCTATCTATCTCTCTCTATCTATCTCTCTATCTATCTCTCTGTCTATCTCTCTGCTCTCTGTCTGTCTCTCTGTCTGTCTCTCTATCTGTCTATCTCTCTATCTGTCTATCTCTCTGTCTATCTCTCTGTCTGTCTCTCTGTCTGTCTCTCTGTCTATCTCTCTGTCTATCTCTCTGTCTATCTCTCTATCTGTCTATCTCTCTATCTGTCTATCTCTCTATCTGTCTATCTCTCTATCTGTCTATCTCTCTATCTATCTATCTCTATCTATCTATCTCTATCTATCTATATCTATCTATCTATATCTATCTATCTATATCTATCTATCTATCTATCTATCTACCAACTACATTTAGCTCTCCTGCTGGCCGTTTCGATAATGGTATCGATACCTATATTGGTATCTAAGAACATGACTGTATGACGAGCATAAGCGACTAGTCATAACATCAAAATCATGATGCATGTCCTGAATGTCATGAGTTACATTTTACATTTCACGGTCTTGCTGATTTTGCGGTGGTTTCGTTCACATGACGCATTGCAAAGTTGTATGATATGACATGACTGCATGGCAAACACAAGTGACAGACCCTAACGTGGATATCATGACATGCATGTCATATAAGTCATGACTAGACGCTACGCTCATGAAACGCTGGCGGCCGTTTCGCTAGCTTCACATATACCAAATTCGGTATTACGTAACGTGAATGGACGACGAAGGTAAATGACTGGTGTAAACATCACAATGCTGACATGAGTGTCATCTGAAATTATGACAACATACCAAGGTCATGATGTGCTCGCGGCCGTTTGGCTACATATAAGTATACCAAATTTGTTGTTACGTGACGTGAATAGATGACGAAGGTATGTGACAGGCGCGAACATAATAATCATGAAATGTGCGTCATGTAAGAACATCACTACACTCTACGCTCATGATGCGCTCTCGGCCATTTCGCTAGCTTTACATATGCCAAATTTGGTGTTATGTGGCGTCGAAATGTTTCATATGAGCCCTGAGCTCCGACTCGAGCTTTTCCTTTTTCGCCTTCCGTTCGGGAGTCCGCTCCTCACGCTCTCGCTTCATCCGCTCCTCATACCATTTTCAATACTCCACTCCCTTCAAACCAATGCGTTCCGCCACCTCCCATGTGCGAGTCATTGTTGATTTCACGTTGAAAAATAACATGAAGAACAAACGGCTTTGTTTGGTCGCTTCGGCCGCCAATTTGTGATGCAGGTGGCTTTTATGTTATGAAGGTCTTTCTAGGTAGAATCTGTGAGAGTCTTAAAAAAGGACAAAGCAGTTGGTTTTTAACAAAACCCACACAAAATGCTTAATTGCGAAGTGAAGACACGAAAATCGCCACAAAACGAAGTACTTAACAATAACTTGATTGCACGCGGTAAAATTCTCTCAATAATAATGAAAACATTCTTTCATTTAATAGAGCTAAACTACACAGTTTCTACGCGGGTAAGCGGTGGAATGGAAAACGGTAGAGTTCCGTCTCACCAGCGATGCAGAGGCTTCACTCTTGGAGTTTTAAATGCGGGTTCGCTGGCCACAGCCAGTGCCTCCTCTATTTTATAGAGGAGGCGTGGCCATGGCGAAGGAATGCTGGCTGCTTTGCGATGCGTCGTGAAGTCAGAAAAACTTGGCCAGGCAGCTGGATGAACAGCTCGGGCCCATAGCCCGACTGCTGTTTTCCGCCTGTCGGCACCGAAGACCACAGGCCCTGGATGGAGTTCGCGTATAGTGGCTCACGTCTTGCCACACAGGAACCTGACGGTAGGAGGCTCCGGCTGGTTGAAATCTTCGATGTTCGAGGCCGCAACCCGACCACCCATCTTCAGCGCCAGGGCCGGTGAAACCTTCCGCTCGCCACGTCCTTTGCGAACTCTCCTGCTCTTCTGCCGCTTATAAGATTTTCCTAGCCCTCCGGCCCAATCATCTCATCCTGATTGGCGATTTTTCAGTTTCGTGGTGCCCAGTCATTGGCTCCTGACGTCAGCGTCTCCCAGGCGTCTGCTAACCCGCGCGTGTGAGGAGGCGCCAGAGAGACGAGGCTCTAATCGCCATTCCTGAGCCTCGTAGCCTTCACAGTGCTGAAGGGAACTGGTGAGACCAGCTCTGTTGTAATCCAGCCTCACATGGCATAGTACAAGCTTCGCTCATCTATTTTTATTTGCTTAGCGATTGCTTGCCTAATTTTTTTCTTTGCAGACTACATGTGTCTTCTGTGTGGCGCTTCCACCGAACAATCAGTCCGCACTCCTGAATAAACGTACCGACAGTAAAGAATTTAAAAAATTTGATCAATAATTGCCTCGCACAGCTTAACTGCATTTACAATGGCGGGAGTAGTGCGAACCAAAACAGTGGTGTCATTTTCTGCCGCTCCGGTAGAGCGCCACCGGATACTTGAACCGGCGTGCCGAGAGCACGTAGTGTGACCGCCGTCAACCAAGGACAATCACGACTGTCTGCCTCGTACTTTTTTGTAGCCCGGGGGTAGCTCACCAACCCGTGCCCCATCTCCCTCCCGGAAATTTCATCACCATGGCATAGAGAGCACTATAGAGAAAGAAAAAAAAATAGGAAAGAGAGTGTGGTTAAAGAGGTCAAGACACTCAATTTTTGACCATAATTGGTGTTGTGTGGGTTGGTACTTGTACGTTCACAAACAAGCTGTGAAAATTTCAGCGCGTTTGGCCGTCTGTCTACACCTTTCGCCTCGGAGAGCGCTCGTCATCATTGGGTGCTGTACGAAATGCAGGAGGCGCTGGTTCGCAGCAAGGGTTACCCGTTCGAGACGCACGAGATAGCCACGGAGGACGGCTACCTTCTGCAGATGCACCGGATACCCCACGGTAGGGATGGACACTGCGGTGCTAACGAGACGGGCATGGCGTGCTGCGAGCGAGGACCCGTGTTCGTCATGACAGGCCTATTAGCGGACTCGGCCTCCATGGTGCTCGACTTCCCCAAGCAGTCTCTTGGTTAGTTGCCACATATATTTCTATATTAGATGCGAAGCGAAGCAGCTCTTTGACTAGCCTCTGTAATGCTGTCGCTCCGTCCACACTGCTCCCCTCGCCGCAGGCGTTGGAGCGGTGTCAAGTAGCTCACGCTCTCCTAGCAGTCCACCAGTCCACGGAGACGCCTCTTTCCTTCGCCTGCCGCGCGCTCGCCGCGTGTCAGCTCTCTTTCGATTCAGCTTCTCCACCGCTCGTAACGCTCGAGCCCACTCCTCACGTGGCCATAATCTCACCCGCGCCATGTTTCTCCATCTGTCGGTGAAAAGAAGCCGCGAGCCGGCGGGTGCGTGCGCTGTGCGCACCTCGAGAATCTCGCGGTGCCGAAAATGTGGTCAGCGCGTTCTTCTTACTGCGTGGTCGCTCCGACGGGCGAGACGCCGTCGGTCGCGGTATGCTTCCTGCTAGTGTGCGCGCACCTTTCCCGGCTGTCGCCAGCGTTGCGAGGGTTAGCGAAGCCGATCGCGTTCACGAATGGCAACGTCAACACCGACGAGGCGCGAGCCAGGGAAGTCGAATGCAAGCGGCAGCAGCGGAAGACCAGCGACACCGCCGAGGTGCGATCGAGTCAAGAACACCGATCGCGTTCGAGAGTACGGACGGCGCGCGGGTAACACCGACGAGAGGCGAGCCAAGGAAGCCGAGTGCAAGCGTCTTGAACGCGTGCACATTCTCGTGTCTTTGAGTATTAAACAAATGTTTACTCGAGTAAACGGTGCACCGTGCTGTGCTTCAAACAGTTCTTCTAGCAACCGCGTGGACGCCCGTATCAACTGGGTCAACGCGCTGTGCACCACCGCTGTTTCGCTTCACGTCAGGGTTCCCTTCGGGGAGACGGTCCTTAGTTTTGTTAGCTCTTCTTTCTCCCTTTGTTTCGTTTACAACGTCTCTCGCATTTATTGTATGCTAACCGTCCTTATCAACATAGTGCCCCTGTATTTGTCTGATCGCTCTCATTTACGATGCGCTCTTTTTATCATTTCAAGCTATGTTTTTTTCGTTGTTTACGACACATTGTTTTCAATATCTTGTGTATCACGCATACTGTATTAATGCCTCAGCACTCGAGCCTTTCCAATCTTTGAGGGCACGTTTAATATATTGTCAGAATATTCTCGTTTATTTACATTCGAAGACGCTTTTCTGACAAACGTTATTAGAAGGAATGGTACTGCTGACGTTGTGGCACTTCCCAAACACACTTGGCTAATTCAAGCTCTTTTATTGGGGATCTGAAATAAACCACGTAATGACCGGAAATACCCATTATTTAATAATAGAGCGATAAGGGCGCTTTGCGCGTTGAGTGAGTGTGAAGTGCAAACTCAACGGTTCAATGTTTTCTTGGTAGTGTGTATGTGTAACAACTATACAGATAGCACGTATATCAGTAACAATATAAAGTATAAGATTATCAAAAATGCTAGACACACTTCACTTATAGCTGAAAAATGGCGAAGAGGGAGAATTCGTCACCACTTTTGACTCACGATGAGCGGCAGGTAGGTAGCGGGTTTAGTTGGTTGCTTTGTTCCTCAAGAGCTTCAAAAAAACCCACTCCGAGGGTAGGCCATGAATCGGATGGTGCCTTGCTTTTTAAACTAACTCACTTTTTGAGGCAAATGGTTAAATTCATCAAACACAACAGGTAATAATTTAACCTTGTAGGACTTTAACAACAAATATTTCAGTTACGTAACACAGAAAAAGAAAAAAAAGTCTCTACCTAATACAACTAAATTTAGCAACGTTTGCGTGTATTTCTTCTAGACTCTCGTAGAAAAACTTGTAACAGCGTTGAAAATGTTCCCGTGGGTAAAACCAAATGCGAACGCGCCAAATGGAAGAATCTCTCGAAGTGATAGGTTTATGCCCAACTTTCGTAGGGGTTCTTCTAGTAGTCTTCTCCTTTAAATATTAAATTTTTGGCAAGTTAAAAAAAAGGTGCTCCAGAGATTCACTCTTATTAAAGGAAAGGCACAAAGGCTACTGTGCCAGATATGACCTGTGAAGGCAGAAGTTTAGTGAAGGGAATCGACAACGCAGCATTGCAATCGATATTTCCTTCTTTGTAGAAGAATACCACCTGTACTCCCAAGGGAACTTAAGCTGTGGAAAATTTGATTAAAACAAACATTTTTCGAAGTCATTAGTCGCTGTGCGCTTTTCAAACGTGCTGCTGTGATATACTCCGACGTAGGCAAAAGTGGCAAAACAGGACTATCACGGCAAAGTATTGCAAGTGTATCTGCATGCTAATTGAGAACTAAACCTCTATAGCCTGGTACCCAAACTAGTTGAACAAGTCGCACATGCCTAGGAATGAGCGAGTAGAATGTCTCTAAGGTACGTGAAAAATTAGGCGCGCTTAAGGCCGCACATACAGCGAGGCAGTCTGTCATAACTACCACTGATATACCATCGGACAGCTTAAGCTATGCTAGCACTATGACCAGCAGCTCATCTTGGTAAATAGGGGTTAAGGGAGGTAATAGAATTGAGAAAGACCAATTTTGAGAGAATGGTAGAATTTTGTGACAAACTAGCGTTCAGAAAAGCATGCCCCGCCGAATTCTGGCGATGGTGACGATACCAGGCGCCAGAGAGACGCGTCAAGGTCAACGCTAATGAAGAAAAACAAGCATCCAAAGACTCCCCGGCCGCGCCGTCTCTTCCCTCGGAACCGTAGTTTCGCCGACCAACCTCCTCACATCGGCCGCCGAGCAAGCCCTCGAAAGATCTGGAAGGAAAGGGGCGTGGTGATGCAGAATTGCGTCACGTGTCGCAGACGGCTCTCAAAACGTCTCGCCCTTTCCCCAGTCTTGGCTGTGCGTCGCACCGGCGAAACGATTATAATTTTCTGGAATCTAGCGCAAAAGGTATTTAAGCGAACAGCGGAGAAGGCAAATCAGGAGATGAAGACGGTTTACGCCAATGCGCGTAGGAAGGAGATGCAGTTTTGCGCAAGAGTGCTTAGAGGTTTTCCACCTAGTTTGGGTGAAGAATTTTGTCGTCAGTGACAAAGCATATAATGAAGAGGGTTTCCGCCTGAAGGGTGAAGGCTGGTGCTTCCAGCAGAAGAAAAGTGTGAGTCAACCGCCAGAGAGCGAAGGCGCGTCCTGCAATCGCAGTGCGTGGGAAGCCGACGTGTTTCCGACGAAGAAGTTTGGTACCAGCTCAGAGTGGGGACATTTGAAGACGAAGTTTCCTGAAAGAGAAACTTCGGGGGCAGCGGATCGACAACAGCGCTGGACTTTGGATGAGTCTTTCCTAGAAAAGAACATTCTTTTTTGATACAAGAACTTCGGACTGAATAAGTTTCTTGGTTGTTTGATGCATGTGATTGCATTGTTGCACGTATTGTTGTTTATGTTCGTTGTTTCGAGTGTAGCTGATTTTATTGTGTAGTTCGTTTTTCTGGTTGGTAAAATATTGTACTGAATTATTGTCGTGTGCATATTTGTGCGTCATTTGTTCTGCCGTACTTGAGAATATAATTTTGTTTTGTTTATCAACTCTCGGCTCTGACTCGTTCTTTGGACCACAGTCGGCGTCTGCTAGTGCACCAATTAGGACCACTTCTAAATTGTCCGTGCTTTCCTGGTGCAGTTCGGGGGGCTGGTTTTTCAGCCCTTGGAATTACCTCGGCGATCACCTCCCTAATTAACGGGAGTTGTGACAAACTCCTACGCCTGCATTTTCGTCGCAAAGGGCAGCAACAGTCGCTATCACAATTTTGTTTCTTGATTTGCCAAATATGATCTTTCGAAAAGGCATTCAGATATTGATTTGGTAAGTTTTTAGTGTTCTACGGGTGTATATTATAAGATTCGATCCTATTTGCATCTACAAAGTTGAGTACAAGTACAGATGAAAGCCCCGACTTCGCTCAGGGTGGTTAGTGAGCCTAAACTCGCAGCGTCGAGCCAGGAACACTGCAAACAAGAACCGCCATTAATGCTTGACTCAATATAATCACGAACAGCCTTCCTCACTGGCTCAACACGGCACTAACGTACACAGGAGGACCAAAAACCCGGAGGGAACAATAGCGGCAAACAGGTGGTGAATCGAACATTCGAACATGCACAACGAAAAAACGGCAGGAAAGCCAGCACAAAACATAACAGCAAGAAATAAAACTCACACGCAACTTGCCTTAGAGTACGCCATTGGGGCTCTTCGATTTTCCACTTCTGGCTACCCGCGGGTTGCCAGAGCCGACCAGAGCGCGCTCGTTTTTCTTGGGCTGCTTCGTCCCCCCCGTAGCGCACTTCCAGTCGGCGTTCGCTTTTCTCGGGTTGGACGGTTCTGGTGACCCGCGGGGAGCCCGAGCGTCACCAGACGCTTCCAGGACAATTTAGTCGTGGAAGCTTTCTAGAAAGTTTTAGGCAGGTTTTGGGCTAGCAGACGCTGAAAAGGTACGATGCGCGCTCGGTGCTATCTTTGTGAGGATTCGATAGATTGCAATGTGGGCGCTTGAGGACTGCAACTTCGCTTGTCATTACGCGCCGCGTTATCTTCTAAAGTTTGTTTCGCCTTGCGAGGTGAGGCGATTACAAGTGGCGGCGAGTGTTTGAAGCTACTGTTCATCGCTTTTGCATGTTGCCCGTGAAGCTTCCTCCTGTGAACAACGCGGTGAACTGTTGACTGCGTAGTGCACATGCCTTAAAAGCTATGTACGTACTACATGTTCGTACGCACGCGTGGAGACAACTTTGGAGTTGAAATTTTTTCCTTAGTAGTTATTTGTGGAGCTGTGCCTACTTTCTGTACACTTTGCGAAGACGATTTTGATTGAACTAGCTCGCTCAGTCGTATGTTTGCGCACGCGAACCTGTTAGAACCTCTGTCCTGACTACTCGATTGATCTTAGGTGGTGATAGAAGGCCCTAGATTGCGACTGTTGGTGATGCTCGCTGGTCATGAACGGCCTGCGAACCCATTGCTATCTATGAGCCAGC